AAGAGTTGCGTTGCCGCCAGCCCGCTGTTGACCCGGCTGCCCGTGACCTCAGGTGTGGCACAGCATTGGCAGTGGCGTGACCGAGCCGCCCCCTCCCGGCGGCCCCGCCTCCGACGTGTTCGTGCCGTCCCAGCCGTTCCTGACGGCGCTCGTGCAGATCTTCCCCGGCATGTTTCAGCATATCAAGTCCAGGTCAGCGACTCTGCCTTGTTTCCCTTGGGGTGTTCGGGGCAGCGTGACGAATTCAAGGCGTCGAGACGATGTGAGTTGAACAGTGTACGAATTATTTGGGTATCTTTACGGTCTTCTATAGTGTTGCACTATGCGCACTCACAGTGATGTGACATGTCTCCGTAAGTGCTTACCAACCATTCTTCATGCACGTGCCAGTCCGAACTGCCGGACGGTGCCGTTGGGTTTGCATAACAGAGATACCTGTGTCTTAACCTAAGAGCGAGCCCGGCGATTAGCCCGCGCCGGCTGACGGCGCCAGCTGACGGCGCCGGCTGACGGCGGCCGCAGGTTCCACTCAGAGGACCTGGCCACGTTGTGCGCCATCCTGGAGCGAGCAGTGGCCGTGCCGGTGCACGGCGAGGCGTCGCCCTTCATCCTGCCGTCGCTGACCGAGGTGGTGCTCACTAAGCTGCAGGAGGCCGTGCTCGCCTGCCTCGACACTGTGGAGCAGGTGAGGACGGCGCCGGCGGCGGCCGCGGCGATGGAGCAGGAACGGGGACGGCCGGGCGGGGCCGGCGGAATTTGATCGGAACACGAGGCGAATAGCAAATTTGGGACTCGAAGCTGCTGTGCCCTGCAGCTGTACTGTATAACAATTCGTCGCTCTTGTTACATGTTCTGGTACAACTAAACAGGAGTTACGTTCTTGTGATCTGATTGAATAAATGCGCCGATTATCTACTTGGCCAAGTTCAGCAATAGTTTTGCTGACCGATCTGCCGCCGCTGTGTGCGTCGCAGGGGGGCGCTGTCGGGCGCGGAGCCAGTAGGCCAGCTGGTACCGGCGCTGTTCGACCAGCTGCTGACCTTCTCCCGGTACGGCTGCCGGGCGCCCTCCTACGGCGACGTGGCCACGCGGCCGGCCGGCCTCGTCAGGAGCAAGGTACCGTCGCCGGCCCGCCGGCGCTCGCGAGTCAGCGGCCCCGCTCCAGTAGCGGTCCTCTCTCTACGTTTCACGCGTGTGGGAGCCGCGTGGGCCCATGCGACCGCTGCGGTCTGCTGGGTCCGGCTCGGCAGTGTGGCGACGTCTCGCGCTGTGCCGTACACCACGCGTGCTGTTGGATGGGATCGCCGGCCACCACGCGCCACGGCTGCCGCCGACGGGCCGAGCCGCCTGAGCTGGCTTGTGGTGTTGCCTGACGCCGACGACCGCCGCCGTCCACAGACGACCGACTGGGTGGCGATGAACTACGTGCCGTTCGCCGAGGCCACCATGCGCCGCGCCACCGCCCTGTACCGCGCCACGGCGCGCCGCACCGACGTCATCGAGACGCACGTGCTGGAGAAGATCATCCAGGTGAGGCGTGGGGGCGGGAGCGGGGCAGGCGCTGCGGGGTCAGCCGGGGTCATCGCCGCCTCCAGAGGGGTTAGGAAACGACCTTTGAGACAGGGACGACTGCAAATCGAGTAGCGCCCTCTCGTTACTGTGGTGTGAATTATATACTTTTGGACGGTTTACCGACGTGTTCAAATGCTCGCCAGTTTATGGCAGTAGTTCACATCAGCTGTTCCGCGGATGTCCACGAAACATGCTGAGTTGGAGGATTGAACCGCCGACCTTCACGCCACCCCCTCCCCCTGCGCCGCGCCGGGGAGTTGTCCCTGCGCCGGCCGAGACCGACGCCTGAGCGGGCGCCCGCAGACGCTGGAGCTGCCGCTGTCGCTGAAGTACGCCTGCCCGGCGCCGACCACCTGGCGGCTCGCCGTCGGCTGCCTGCTGGACGTGCTGAAGGAGGGCCTGGTGACGGCGCGCCAGTACCGCCAGCACAGCCAGAACGTCTGGCCTCGGCTGGCCGCCTGTCTGGAGGCGTTCCTCTTCTCACAGAGGTCAGCCACCTCCGCTGCCTCCAGTGGGCCGGGCCGCTGGGCTCGTTTGTTTGTTTATGATGGCGTTAGAGTTGTGGCGACTGGCTCTGTTTGTGTCTGCTAGATATGGCGGCTCACCTTTCTGGAATACAGCCAGCATATGACGGACTGGTGGTACCGGCTATATGTAACTGTCCTCCGTCTGGCATTGGGCTCGGTGGCAGAGCGACCGGTGTTCGGGGAAGAGGGAAGGGGAGGAGCGCCGCAAGTCACCTACCAGCTTGCGTGCGCATCGATTGCTCGTGCACATGTCAACCGCCTGTATCGCGATTACACCTGTCGGTGGCGCCTCTGCGAGCGGCCCCAGCGGCCGGCGCGGGCGAGCCCGGCGGCCGGTGACCCGTCTCCCGCCTGCGGTGCCGGCAGCGAGCCGCCGTCCAGCCTGACGCCGGAGGAGCAGCAGGCGGACGAGGCGCTGGACTGCGAGGTGGTGCGGCTCATCCGCGAGGACGTGCTGCCGCACGCGGCCGTCGTGCCCGGCCAGTTCCTTGTGTCGGTCATGGTGCTGCTCAACAAGGGCTCGCTCCACTCGGCGGAGCACGAGAGTCTCGGTCAGTGGCCGCCGTGGCGCGGGGGCGGGCGGTGCTGACTGGTGCCTCTAAAAGGAAACCGGTATAAATAAATAAACACGTGCGGATGTTCGAAAGTTGGCAACAGTCTTTGGCGCGTTTGTGATATGCTGATGCAAAATGTCAAGTGGAGTTAGTAGTTAATGAATTTTCCAAGGTATGCTATGATAAATCTCTTTGCAGGATGCAAAAGAGCCATGGTGGCCATTTGGGCATTGCTTCCCTAGAACAGTGCGTTTTGTCTCGCGTGTTGGCTGTCTGGCCACGCTTTCAGTCCGGTGTGCGCTCCCAGCATGTCCAGGGATCGTCTCCCGTGTGATCGCTTACGTCTTGCTCTGTGCGTCCACTTCTTTGACCCCCCTCCCCTTCCTCTCAGCAGAGAACGGCACGGCGCGGCTGCGCGAGGACCTGGCCAACGCGTGCTTCGAGACGCTGCTGCAGTTCTCGCTGCAGCCGGGCCCGGCGGCGGCGGCGCGCGCCTCGGCCGACGGCGGCGTCACCTCACAACTAGCGGTCGCGGCGCTCGTGCACCGCTTCCGCGAGGTGCTCGTCGGCTTCGTGGACGACGGCAAGCTGGCTGGAAAGTGCCCGCTGCCCAGGTGAGGGGTGCCGGGTCAGGGCGGGGTCACATTCCGCTCCTGCTGCCGTTCGAGTGTCAGTGTCCGAGCCTCGGAGGAGCTGACTCTCAGGATGTTTGTGCGCGACCGAAAAGACTAGTTCGCGGTGGTTTGCGTGTTCAGTACTCAACAACACGTGCTGAGCACGCACCATCATTCATCGTCCATCGTTGCTGCATCGTGCCATGGTGCTGCAACGGCGCTGTCAGGGCAGTTGCTTTCAGAGGTATTCCCTTGTAGCGGTCAGGTATTCGGCATCGTGCCGGCTGTGTTACCCCCCGGGCGCCGATAGCTGTCGCTGACGCTCTGCAGTGATTGCTTTCCCAGGCACCGCATGGCCGAGATATCGTTTGTGCTGAGAGCCATCACCTCACTCATCTCCTCCCTGAAGAAGGTGGACCCGAACACAGGTGAGCCAGACGGACTCCTCGCTCCCGGCACACGCACACGACTCCGTGACCGCTGTCATGACCGCAGCATGCACGGGTTCGTACGGTGGAATGGAACGCGGATTTGTTACCCGTCATTGACAGCACAGCGGCGAGAGATTTTATCGCGTCTGTGCGGTGGGCTATGCTAACCCGTGATGAGACAGATGCGGCCGGCCCCAGTCGTTCCCCACCGCGGGTCGCGGCCCGTTCTGACCCGTGCCGGCCGTCGGGCAGTGGACGAGATGACCTGGCAGCAGCTGGTGGGCCTGTACCCGCCGCTGGTCAGCTGCACGCTGCTGGCCTCGGACCAGGTGGGCCGGCCGCTGCACGACGCCCTGCTGCAGTACGCCGACCTGCTGCGGCCGCCGCCCGCCGCCGCCGCCGCGCACAACGGCCGCTCGTAGCCGGCCCGGCCCGGCCCGCCGCCGGAGCTGCGCCCCGGAGCGTCGCCTGCCGGAGCGCCCCCGGATCCAGAGCGCGGCGTGCTGTGAGGAGGGGTCGTCGCGCTGCCAGTCCGGCGGCCCCCGCGGCTGACGGTCCCCCTGCGAGGCCCGTGGCTCCCTGGTGCGGCGAGCGGCAGTGCGCAGGCCCGGCGGTCCCGGCGCTGGTGATACTGTTTTGTTAGTGTTGTTCACGACGAAGCCACTTGTTTTCGTGTCCTGCGTGTGACTTGGGACGCTTTGGGAGCAGCGCGGTGGGTCGGCCGCTGGGAGCTTTGGTTCGGCCTGAGTGCGGTTTTGAATTCGCGCGATGGACGACCGTGTGGAGGAAGCGAGGGTCGGCACCGATAAAGACATTCCATCCAGGGCTGGCTAGGTGTCGCGCCTTTCCCGCGCGCTGGGACATGCTTGTGCGAGAGCCGGGGGTTACCTGCCGATCCAACTCCTCAGCATGTCGTGCTGCGGAGACCACGTGCCCTGTGACACCGTCTCGCATACTCGACTGGGCGAGGGTTTTCTGTTCTGTACGGGAGCTTTCGGGGCTTTTGGAAACCACCGCCCGCGATCAGCTGTCTTGCCGTCCAGCGGCCGCGGTGCAGCTCGACGGACGTCACGCACGGGGAGTGACCGTCTCCGGTGTCTGCTGTTTCGCTTCAGTATGTGCATCTCACAGCCGCTACCCGTTCCAGAGGCTTTCGAAGCCCGCGAGACGCCGGGCGTCCGTCCTTCCCGTTTATTGGCGTTGCGACAGACACCGGCGGCCTGTACAATAAAATGCCCGGACCGCAGGGCGACGCGTCCCGTAACAAGGCCCATATCAGGGTGTGGCGCCGCCGGCCGTGGCGGCGGACGCCGGGGGACAGGGGCGCGGACACACCACATTATCACACCGTCGGCGCGTGTGCCGGGCCCTCCATTTGTAGCATGGATGATGTCGGTACGTGGCGTGGGTGAATACACTGTGTACCCGAGCGGCGGCCGTCTCAGAACTCCAGGTTGATGTTGCGCTCCGGCACGTGGCTGTGCATGAAGGCCGCCTCGTTGCCGCGGATGGAGAGGATCTCGCTGTCCAGCTTCGGCCCGCTCCGCTCCTGGAACGCGGCGCGGTCGGGTCAGGCGTCGGCGAGGCGCGGCCCCGAACGCCGAGGCGTCCGGCTCGCACTGCGTTGACGGGGCAACGGCGGGGATGTGCAGGACTGAACGGCCCACCAGCCCGCGCCCACTCCGGGCACACCTGACGTCCAGCCTGAACATCAGGTGAAGTATACTTATCCCCCCCCCCCCCCGCCTGGCGTGCTCACGCTCATAATTATAATCCGATCAGCAGTGCCGAGCTGCTTGCCCAACGTCCGGACGGCATCGCAATAAACGAAATGTCAGTCGCACGTGTAGGAGCGTTCACAGCGGCTACGCATCACGCCGTAAAAGCAAGGTGCGGATCCAGTGCGGTGAGGTACATCACAACCATACAGGCAGACGATGCGCACGCTCGCGGGACACCACGGAGCAGCATACGCCTGCCCTGACCTTGCCCATGGGCGCCTTGACCCATGTCTCCTGGCCGCAGTTCTTGCAGGGCAGCTGAGGCAGCTTGTCCAGGCTGATGGTGCGGCTCTTGCAGTTCTTGCAGCTGAAGAACCGCTTGACGGCGTCCACGAGCACCGTGCCGTGGCCCTCAGACTTGCACAGGTCAGACGCGGACAGCGCCCGGTACTTGCACTGCAATGGGACCCAACACCACTTACTGGTCAATGTCGTGCTGAGAAGAACACTCGCGTATCATGGCCACACGATGAATGCTATCCTGTTCAGTGCTTTCATGTGATATGGAAAGCCGTTGTGCTAACGCGTTCAGGAGTGCGGTGGCAATGCTGCTTTGAACAAGGGCACGGCCGAACGGAAAGCAACGCTGACGGGCGCAACGCAGCGCATTGGACCAGAGCACAAGTCCAACTCGGCTTCTGTACTTTGCAAACTACTGGAAAATGTGCTAGCGTAGACGGAAGGGGCACATCAGCACTGCCAATGGACAAGATGGGTCCCAAAGTCGGATGGTGTGGTGGTCAGTTCGAGACAAGAAGCTTCACACACGGCTCGGACTAAGCAAATCACATTTGTCACATGAGTGCAGACTTGACAGGGACGGGAGAACAGTCCCGCCGCCCGTGTCGGCCGACCGGCGGCGCGTGCCCACCTTCCGACAGTAGACGGCCTTGGTCTTCACCTCCCACGTGCTAAGCATCTTATTCTCGATCAGCTCCTTCTTCTCGAGCGCCTGGAAGTAATGCTCCTGGCCCTCGGAGAGTTCGGCTTCGAGCGCGGCCGCGTGCGACGAGCGCGCCTCGAGCACGGCCCGGAAGCGCGGCTCGTCCACCAGCCGCGGCCGCTTCGCCGGCGGGGCGGGCACCTCGGTCGCGTCCGCTGCAGGGAACGGTACCGTCAACACCGGCGCGGGACGGATGAAAACACCGAACGTGGGTCAGCCAAGCCATTTGTGTGGAGGTGTCGGCGCTGACAATTTAGAACCTATTTATATCTGTTGGAATGCAGAAACAGCTGATGTCATGTAAGTGGTGACCGGCAGTGTTGCCAGGAGTAAATATGTTAGCCGGAATGGCGAAGCTACATTCAACCAAATCGCTCAAATGCACCGAGAAAACGTGGCCGATGGAAAATACCGAACTGCGGTACGGCATTTGTTCCAGCAGTAGTACCGTACAACCAAACTTTGCCTTACCGTGCTGCTGTACGTTAACAGTGCACTGCTGCAGGTGCCTGGCGACAGATAATCTACTCACGAAGGCAGACACATTATCACCCAACATCGACACACAATCGGCCCAAACACGTGCTGACCGCGCGGCCAGGCCGGTGCCGAGCCGAGCGAGCACCGAGGCGCTGAGTCGAGCGCCGACCGAGCACCGAGCACCGAGCACCGGCGCCTCGCACCCACCCGGAGTGTTCTCGTCGACCCGGCGCGCCACGCGCTCCAGCACGGCCTGCCGGCTCTGCCCGCTGGCTCGGGCGCGGACAGCGTTCGGGTTCGCCTTCTTCACGCCGCCCGACTGTCGGAGCAGGGCCACGGCCCTGGCCTGGGAGGAGGGGAGGGTCCCGGGTCAGAGCGGCGGCGGTCGGCCCAGCGACGGGCGGGCGGTGACGGCGCCCGACCATGTACATGCGGAGCTGGTCTCAAGATTAGTCAGCATCGCGACAGAAGTGGACTGAAAAGAAGACTGGGGAGGTGATCTTCCAATCAAGCGCTGACTAACTGACTTCCAGTGATGTGGAGATTGCAAAGCACAAACTGAAAGGCTTCGCCCAAATTGCCCTCAATGAACAGCAATCCGTCTGGACTGAACAACACAGCACACCAGCCAACCAGATCCGGTCGGCAGAATTACACAACCCCTATAGCCCACAGCAGGCTTGCATGACCCGACCCAGCTGCCGAGGCAGGGCGGCTCACGCCCATCCTCACCTTGTTGAGCGCGGCGGCGGTGGCGCCGGGCCGGCCGTCGTCCAGCTCCACCTGGTGCCCAGGCGGCACGTGGCGCGCCAACCGCGGCGCCGGCGGACGCTGGTCGGCCTGGCGGCGCGCCTCAGCCCGCAGCAATGCGGATGGTGCGGCGGGCGGCGCCGCCGCCGGCCGCCGCTCGTCGCTGAGGTCCGAGGAACTCGCAGCCGACGCATCGGCCGTGAGGTGCTTCAGCAGGTTGCGCGCGCCGGCGCAAGGCTTCAGCAGCATCTCACCTCTGGCGGCGGACAGGTCAAGACTGTTCTGCTACGCCTTCCGCAGGTAGTGGATAGGTCGGTCCCTGCCGCCCCCTCCGCAGAGGGGAGAGGAAGTGGACGAGCCAGAGGATCCAAACGCGTGGCAGGAATAAGAGAAACATACCAACAACATCACTGCAGTTTCTGGCAAGTCTTGTGCACGAGAAGCGAACTCGGCTGGTGTGACGTGCAGCGGCTGTGCAGAGCCCGTACTCACATCTCCACGCTGTCCTCGGCCACGGTCGCGATGGCCCGGGCCTCCGCCTGAGAGATGTGCTTCAGACCCAGCGAGCTCAACTGCTTCTTCTTCGCTGTCAGGCTCTCCTCGCACTGCAGGCACAGCGTGGGCATGACACCAGCGACCAGGCATGCCCCGCGGGTGGCGTCGGTAATTGCTGGAATGCCGGTCAAAACAAAGAAGCAAAAGCAGTTTTGAGTTCATACGAACAACGCGCCTCAGGCATTTTTTAAGGCGGTCAATAGCAAATCAACTTGGAAAACAAAACCAATCGACTCCCCACAGGCGTAGCCATGGGACTCGTAGTCCACGGGCAGCTCCCGTGCCGGCGACGCCTGGCGGCGGCGGCTGACCTGTTTCTGCAGGCGCAGGCTGCCGAGCCGCTGCCGGTCGCGCAGGGGCCGCTGGGCGGCCGTCTCCGAGTGTCTGGCCGACGAGGCGGCCGCAAGCTGACCCTCGTGCAGCAGCGCCCCGCCGCCCAGCTGACTCTTCATCGGCCGGCGCGGCGCCCACTCGACATACCCTGCGGCGGCCCGACGCTGCGCTACGTCACGGGCACATCGGGCGCAGACCCTTAACTGTCACGACACGAGAGCCACTGTCACGATGCGCGCCGGGCACGACCCTGAACACGTCGGTGGTACACTGGCTGATGTGGCTGCTGTGTGCGTGGAGGGGATCGGGACGTGCCTCACCATCAGCTCCGTTCTGTGCGTTTACAAAGCGCAGGGGAGGGCTATGGTGAATAACCCATGGATTGTCACAGGAGCGGGCTTGAAAAAACGCTGTGGTAACAGCCAACGTTCCCGACATGGCCGCGGAACGACTCGCGTGGTTAAAGCAGCCGGAGCCAAGAGCCACCAGACTCAATGGCATCGATGCCACCGATTTGACGCAAGGTGAAACAGTCACAAAAACAAGCATGACTGCCACCACACAGGGACGATCACGCCAGGGGACGCCCGGCGGTCCGGCGGTCCGACGCCCCCTCCCCCCCCCCCCCCCCCAGTCCGGAGACGACTCTCACCTGCAGCTCGCCCCGCTTGGCGCCCGTCTTCTTATACTCGGCGTTCATGTGGAACACGCAGACGGGGCAGTGGCGCTTGTTGATGAAGCTCAGGCAGATCCGGCCGTTCTTACACCTGCAGAGGCGGTGACGTCACGCCGTCACGTAGTACTCGCATGCGGCGAAGACGGCGCCGACTGAGGAGCCATCAGCGCTCAAAACAACCTCGATGTTCGGCTGAGTGGATACAACTGGGCTGTTTCGCAGCACGGCAAACGGTTGCCCGGTAGGGAGGTCATATCGGAGGTCGGCTAAATTTTGTCGTGAGAGTGAATGACCCGCAAGGTAGCGAGGGCAAGTGTTCTCCTGCACCTTGGGAGGCAAAGAACATTACAGAGAGGATTGCCCAAACTGAGTCGACGCCACATACAGGAACATTAGGTGACTGCCAATCAGTCAGTAATGCTCACTTGGCCTTGCAGAAATCCAGATCGGGTGAAGTGCCCAGCATTATGCAGTGTTTGGCGGAGTTCACGGACAGAGTTATCCCTGATCCGTCCATTTCTCTGCAACCGGGTCATCAGCCGGGTCACAACCACAATTCTTCAGCCCGGATGGCGTCACGGACGCTCTGTGTTTCCGAAAGTAACCTGTGTCGACATTCTGACCTGGTAAGATTTGCATCAGAGAACAAAATACAACACACAATGTACTGTAATGTTTATGCGGCATTGTCATACTGGAATTCACGTAAGATGTGCGTTTGCATTATCAAAAGCAAAAAGATCAAAAGTAACCAATAGCAAGAGGGACGACGCACTAAAGAGTCTGCAATGAACTGTAAACTGCAATGTCAACACAATCAAATCTAGTCCCTCCAAAACACAGCCGACTGACTTCGCTGAACCACCACCTTCTCTAACCCAGCGTCACTCCATCCCAAAGACGTCCTACCCGCCAAAGCCAGTCCCTCCGTCCACCTACTTTTCCTTCATGACCTTGCAGCCGGCCAGCGCGACCACGGTGCCGACGGAGGTCTTCCAGAGGCCGCCGTGGGCGTCCCCGAACAGCATCACCTTGGCCGGCTTCTGGCAGTCGATGAGGTCGGTCAGCGTCCAGGAGGAGTAGGTCGAGCCCTGAGGACGAGCCGGCCAGCCGGTCACAGGGCCGGCAACCTCAGGCGGCGGCACAGTCTCAGGGTCGCGTCGCCGGCTGTCCGGTCCACCAGCGCCGCCCAGCTCTTAAAAGTAGCTCTGCAGCTACGGCCGGGACCACATGGGTGTTCATTTCCTCGATCCTGTCCGACTTGCCGTACACCGGGCGGGCCCGTGATGGTTAAATCAGCAGTGACACAGCCTGACGACGTCTGCCAGCTGAGGCGCACACCCGTACAACCGGCCCGAGCCCGCTTCGCCGCACCCGCAGCCCGCGACGCGCCCAGAGCCGGCTCCCTCCACACCCCGCACTGACCTTCTGTGAGGTGCGCGGCTCGGACTTGCGCGCGATGACGCCGATGGTGACCCAGTCACCGGGTATACCCTCCCCACGGACGTGACTCCCCAGCTGGCTGATCCGGATCAGCTGCTTGTCCTGCATGCAGTCGCGCAGCTCGGCCTGCGAGAGCCGTGGGTTGCTGCGGCACATGGGCGCGGCCGTCACACGTGGCGCCGTTCACCGCGCAGCATCCACACTCGGACATTCACGCATTTAGTGCACATGAGGACGGAGCGAGCCGATACAGGAAGTGTTTTGAAACATGTCAAGTGCGGAGCTCGACACAATTACGTCGACATGCCATAATACGTGCACAAAAAACATAGTTGGCATTAAACGTCTTTGCCGCAGCCGGCGACGCCAATGAACAAACACGGCCACGCATGACGACGTCACAGGCGCACTCACATGACGCTCATGCGGGCGAACGAATCCAGCATGACTTCCTCGTGCGGCTGCTCGGGCGCCGCCGGCCGGCCGCCATCGGCGCGGCGGGCCGCCACCTTCGGCCGCATCTCGCGCTTGGTGGCCCGGTTCGCGTGCTCGGCGCGCTCCTGGAGGCGGTCGCGCGCCGAGCTGATGGCGGCGCCGTGCGCCAGACGCTTCACCTGGCGCCCGAAGTCGTTGTACTTGGTCTCGAACGGCGTGCGGTTGTCCTCGTCCTCGCTGGAGTCGGTGTCGCCGCCGTGCACGTGGCTCTGGGGCCGGCGCAGCATGGCGCGCAGACGCTCCTCCCGCGCGCCGGCCTCCGCCGAGGAGGACGGCACGTCGCGCACCACGCGCGCCGCCACCAGGCCCGTGGTATCGAGGAACTTGGACTTGTTCGGCGAGGCTGGTTTCTTGATCTTGCTGACGACATCCTGGAGACTTTTGGGCGCGGATTTGGCGTGCTTCCTCTCCTTCAGCATGGCCAGCTTGGCCTCGAGAGCTTGGATCTCGGTCTCGGTTGGGTCGTCTTCGTCCACTGCCGCTGCCGCCTCATCGGCCCGTGCCTCGTCATCAGAGAGTGTCAGATCGGACTCAACCCTCTGCAACGCTGCATCTGACACATCGAGACTGCTGAGCTGGCTGGAACTATGTCGTGACGAGGTTGACGCGGATGTGGGAGACGCTGCCACCGCGTCCAATACACATTTCTTAGCTTGCTTCCGTAGGCTATCATCAAGATCAAATGTCTTTCCAGTGACATGGAAATTTTTCCCTTCAAATTTATCTTGCAGATCTTGCTTTTCTGCCTTGTCAGGTTCGCTGGTCACATCCTTGTGGGATCCGCCATCCTGACTGGCATCTCCAGTATCACCATTAACCAAAGCAAACAACTCATCATCATCTTCATCTAGGAGAGCAGCAAGATCCTCCAGAGCTAGAGCTGAAAGGAATTGATCTTATCAAATGAAAAGTAAAACAGCAGTACCCACATAAAAAATAATGGCAGAAGGAAACAAATAGAGAAGAAAAGACTAAGAGAAAAAAAAGATGTGTCATAATATTTCTGGAGCCTTCATTCACAGCTTGTTCCATTGATAGCATTTGTGGAGCACACAATACCTGAATAATCTATCAATGTGTTTATCATCATCAAATCAATGCAATTAAAACATGCAGGACAAATACTTGATGAAAACAATGAGCAAACCATTCATGTCATCCTTACTGTCTTCTTCCATGCTGCAAGGACTGGTAGGTGATATCTGAAAACAAACATCAGTAAGGTTACAAATATTGGAATGTCAAGAAATGACTGTGTTTCAAGCAGCTTTGTTTTATCTGAATAGCATATTGTAATTACAAGTGCTTTGGAAAAGTGGATGCCCGGCTAGTGGAACAGGGACTAGCCAATGAGCAACACATTTAATGGCATGCACCTTATGCAAGCTCTATTATAAGGCATGATATTTTGACTCCAAAAATATGAATGGTAGTGGGCTCATGAATCATGGAACTTGGTCAGAGTGCAGTATGACTTTTTATCAACTCAGCTAAACTGACTTGGTGGGCAAGAAAGTATGCACCAAAGGCATATGTCTGTGCAACCCTGTTATTAGCTAATCCACCCATGTCTGATCATACAAAACAGAGGAGTATGTTGATAATATGATAAAATCAGCTGCAGTCATCATGTTCATACATGCCACAACCAACACATGTGCACACACAGTGGCATACAACTGGACACATCATTCGCTTACTCTCTCTTCTTGTTAACAATTATTTCTTAATGCTGTACTTACCTTGGAAATTTCTACAGGAGGCTCAATAGCCAGCAAGCAAAGCATGACAGTATTTTGATCTTTTGATCACACTTCAGCAGCATTTAAGCTCGGCAACACAGATGGCTAGAGAAAAACGGTCACATTTTACAGTGCCCTGGAACATGCCAACTTTAAATTTGATGAAATCAAAAAGTGCCCAATAAAATCTGAACTTAAGCTGTTTTTATGAACAGTAACTCTACATATTCTGTACCACAGCTCTCTGTACAAATGTACTTAAACACTTTCTAGACAATTGTCACCATTTTAGATGTGTCAATAGCCAATGAAAGCCCCAGATACACCTAAAAACAGAAGTGAGCCTACAGCGACATGTAAAATCATTTGTTTTATCCAACCGTGTGCTAGGCATCCTTACTGCGCATGCAAGGCACCCTTATGTTAAAATGGGAAAGAAGCTTACAAACATACATAAATAAATGAACTGTTGCATGCACAACATAATTTATATCTGGACAGGTGTGTGTGTATGTGTGTTGTGTTATACACCTCCTCACACAATAAATTAATTCCCAGTTCGCCTTTATTTCCTGTCATTTCATAATGCGGCCACCTCCCCAAAATATTGAACAAAAATCCCCGGAAACGCTGATAGTGAGCACTCACCACGCTCAACACCAACGTCCTCTCCCAATCGTTCACAACACGGGGCTTCGTTCCCCTGAAGAACCGTGGGTCTCCTGGTCTCCTTAATGCCCTACGGTTCTCCTCGCCTTGTCCTGGAGAAGGACATGCCCCGAGCTCAGAACGAAAACATTCGCCGATCTTCGTGTGTTTCGCGCCACTGCTTGTATCCGTGCACAAGAAACCCGCGAAAATATCAAAGAAGAGTATCCGCAAGCAAATTTCTGTGAGCTTTCGACTTTTGCCGTGCAACGGGCCTTGGTCTTACGTGCTTTTATTATGCGCCAGACGCGTCTCAAGAAATACGAAGGATGTATTAAATGATTCACTTGCTAGCAATTGCCATTGCATCACCACAAAACATAAAATATCATAACAAATTAAATCCCGTCCTCCACTGCGAATGCGCTTGCTAATTTACTTCCGTTGACGGCCCCCAACGATGGCGAATGATCACCAACGGCGGACGCTACATGTAAGGTTCCCAGACAAAAAGCCGAAAGGAAGAGATAGCACGACAAAAAGTCGATGGGAATAAATGTCGTTAGAGTCAAAAGTCGAATGGGAAAAAGTGGAAAGGGGACAAAAATCGAGGGACAAAGATTCGAAAGGGATGGAAGTCGGCAGGGGATAATGTCGAATAGGAGAAAAGTGAGAACGCTAAGGGTTAATTCGAATAGGTAGAAATACTTGTAGTCGGAAATATTAGAAGCAGGAAGTTCATCAGGCTCATACACCCCGGCATGATTGATGGATTAGTCTGCCGTCACGGGTGGAAACAGATAAGACTGAATGGGACTGGATGGGACGGGACGGGAGTGAGCGGGACCGTGCAGGCAGCAATCCCACCAGAAGGGAACGGACGAAGAACGGAAAGCTGCGACCGGGTCGTATGGAGCCAGATGAGGCCAGATGGGATCATAATGGGACGGGATCGGGTGGCACAGAACGAGACCACGCTTACCCGGACATGATCAGACAGCTTGAGACGCCCCGGAGCTGGTCGACAGGAAACAGACGAGACAGAACGAGTCCAGACGCGACCAGACGGAACCAAACAAAACCGGACGAAACCGTACGAAGCAGGGGATCAGGGCATGTGAGCATGATACTGTCTGACCAGGCAGGACGGGACCAGACAAAATCTCAGGTGGACTGCTGTTAAATCTGCCACATAAGGACCTTAATGCGACGCCAAAGTACATGCTTCAACTGTTTCGCAACGGGGAACGGTATACGCAAGGCGGCCGCAGAACAGCTAACAGTGTGTGCTGTGTGACTGTGTCGGCAGTGAACCTGGATATTTGATGAACCATTATAAAACTTCAAAAACACTCACATTGTGTTTTTGTGTTTATTTTTGGCGTGGCAAAAACACCCACCTCTAGTTTTTCGGCCTGGGACGTAGTTTCGCGAAATGAGTTGGGGAGGAAAGGAGGGGAGGGGGGATGGAACAAGGGAAATGACATAACCTATCTTCAAAACGCCAACAAATAGATTTCCAAAACGTACACTTTCTGTCTCAGCCCGATCGAAACACTAAAATTCAACGGGCTAACGTGCCGTCGCGCGTTGTAGCATGGGTTGCGCCGCAGTCTCTCTCGCAGCCATTTTCTGGTACCTTTTCGTTTGTTGCGGGAGACATGTAGCCCGGTATTTTAAGAAGGCCCCTGAAATCGAGATTCAGTAGACCTCTCCCGTCCTAACATGATTATTCACGTACACAGTTTTTTGATACCGCAAGAACTGATTTTATGTTGAGCCATTCACCGAAGTCGATATCAATGAAAGCAGCTATGTCGAATAGTAATGCAGAGATGCGATTTTAAGAAAATCAGCAGCCGATATTTTGATGTCACGGCTTATTTGAGAGACATATCCGGGGTAAATATTCTCAATTTTGCCCGAATCCATGGCAGCGACTCGGCTCGCCGGGATGTGGCGGAGATAAACTTTGGAATATGCAATCGCTGCACGCACATGCACTCTCTCTGAGTACTTGTACATGGAGTGCTTGCATGAAAGCCGACTTGAGGTTGTATTGCTGTGGTCACAATAATAACAACGTCACAAATAACAACAACGTCAGACTATCGATAGTGCCACTTATGGGGGTAATCCAGCGAAATGTTAATATTCTATGAGAAAGAAGTGTAGCGTCGTGTTTTATTTTGGCAAGACCATGCTAACGAGCTTACCACTGTCTTTATTAGACAAACTGGAGCATGCTAACTGCCAGTTATCTACAGGGGAATGCCATATTGCTTTCGACAAATTGTTTTTTAGAGCGGCTTCTTTCCGGCACAGTCTGTCATGAAAGGGTGACTTTGAGTCGCTTTAGGCACTTGCTAATTGCCCCTGTATTGAATGGCCTGTGGCTAATGGCAACAAAAGCTGTTGTCAATGATGAATAGAATCACTTGCTAGAAATGTCTGAAACAAATAACAAATCAGCAAACCCCGGGCGAACATGGTCAGCCCTAGTTTCCAAAAGGATGCAGCCATTTCTTTCTTGTATCGCGATTCCAAAGCTTGGTCGGCTGATACTGTCCGTGACAGTGTTCAGAGAAATGACACAGACGGTACTGGGCTTTTTTCGCCATGTTCGTCTCGTTGAACTGCCAATAATCGTGACAAGGACTATTTTCACTCTCAACTTTGGCGGAATTCTACTTGAAGTGCCAGCTGAACCGCACGACCCCATGTGGAACAATGCCTGCCCTCCCAAACAAGATTATTCTGGAACAGCACCAGTTGTCTTTATCAGAAGCTTCTCATTGTTGCGCCAGCTTGTTAACAGATATAATGCTTCCGGGCTGCCAAGAGCGGTACCCCAGGGCACAGCAGTTGCGTTTCTCAGCAGCAGCCAAGAAGATCAACAGCAGAGCATTTCTCCAGCTAACCGAGAGCTGGAGTTGATGCCCATCCCTCCCCCCCCCCCCCCGAAGCTCGCAACAGTGAATCTCATCCTGCCAAGAAAAAAAAAACACTAAAAAGGTAACGTGAACTGAAAACGTCCATAGCACATCGCTCGCGTATTGCAAACACATCAGGAGAAACAAGCGACGAGATGTCGCAAATGTGTTGATAATGTAAGAAGCCATGCAGGTCTGGAGCCTCGTTTAATATATTTCACTGGGGGTCGAGGGGGGGGGGGAGATTTCTTGCCCACGCATAATAAGTATCATGTGGCGTTCTACAAAATGGCGGGAACCGACCTCACTTGATTAAGGTTCACTTGACTAGGGTAGGGTCTCGCCACACCACTAGCTGGTAAAGCATGCACAATACTGGAGGGATTTTTGCCCTCCATTCAACATGAATGCACGTGTCCCTGCAGGGCACGGCATCGCCCTACGAGTACACCAGTCGTATCAAGCACACCAAATCAATTAAAAGGAATCCTGCCATACGAGAGCACAACTTGCACGAAGCGGAAATAATATCGCTCAACGTACACTGATCGATGCACCCAGCACGCCAGCGTGAACACTTCCGGGACCCGTCCTCCCTTCTGACCAGCCTGTCTGGGGAATGCAGCCACCCTTCCCGAGCCGCGTTCCGTAACGGGCCAAACACCCCCCGGCCGCCTGTCGCAGGTACAACAACCAGGACGCCGGGGCTGGGACGATGTGACTAAGCATGGGCGAGGAAACAATCGCGTTATTGGGGGCAGGGGCGGATCCAGGATTTTTCCAAGGGGGGGGGGGGGCACGCAACATTGTGGGCCCCCGTGGAGTTTGGGGTCCCCCTCAGAAAAATATCCTTGCATTTCGGTCATTACGTTTTAAGGCAAGTCTTATGTAACACACGCATGCACACACAAAGGCACACACACACACACACACACACACACACACACACACACACACACACACACACACACACACACACACACACACACACACACACACACACACACACACACACACACACACACACACACACACACACACACACACACACACACACACACACACACACACACACACACACACACACACACACACACACACACACACACACACACATATATATATATATATATATATATATATATATATATATATATACATACATATATAAGCATTTGCTTATTCATTTGTCTAACAAATACGGAAACCCATCTGACTGTACACAGCCTTATAAAGCAAGGTGTGCCACGCATGCATACGAACAAAGTTCACTCAATTTCTACAGATCATTTTGAACGCTGTAATTTTAAGGCTGAGTGTTTCGGAACAACAGCCAAAATAAACTTGAGCTGGTTGCTAACAACCATCAAAACCAGGCATGGACCTAATGCCTAGTTCATGTACTTACGGCCACCCGGCTGTGCGATGTAATCAGCTGATGGTTGATAACTAATGTAGAATTTTTCCTTTGTTTCAAAAGGCTGCAACATATCCTAGCGTTCAAAATATGTTGAGAACGTGATGCGCCAGTATAGTCAGTGTAACACACTCAATAGCCAATGGAAATGACACATACGACGCCGACGGCACGTAAAGTTACGTTCGGCAATTGCGCGTACAAATTCATCAGCGCATATTCGGCTGCTGCTCTAAGACGAAAGCACCAAGACCAGTAGGGACGGAACATGAGCGATCATGGGTGCCGCAGGAGGCCAGCAAAGCGGCTCCCGTCAACAAGCATAGGGTCCTCAGAGCAAGCAAAAACAACCCAAGACCAACGTGGTGGGCCCCTAAACGATCGGTAGTGCCCCGGCAGGCTGACGTAGAAGGCCCCGGCCACAGCACAGGACCCTCCGAGCAAATGGTATTTATCCAAGACCATAAATTAATTCCCCTGCGCGATCAAGAGTGCACGGGCTGGTTAACAACATTAGCCTCGATAGGAGTGAAGAGTCCTCCGCAAATGAAACCAAAGGAAGAAAGCCCTCGATCAAAGTAGAGGGCCCTTGAGCATCGAGTGTCTCCGAGCCTTACCTTATAGGAGCCCTAGCAACAGCACAGGGCTCTCCAAGCAAGTAGAAAGAACCCGATACTTTCATGAAGGGCCCTTGAGCAACTAAGTGTGCCCTGGCGTATAGGGTCCCCGGAAAACGTGTATAGAGCCTTTCGGGCGAATGGGAAGAATGCCTGGAGGAAAACCTGATCGATCAACAGTGCTCAGGCATGGGGACAGATAGGGTCTTAACAGCACATTGGGCCCAATGAGAAAATGCAAAGAGATCAAGGGTACCGTGGAAAGCTCCTTAGCGATCAGATTGACCCGGCAAGTGGACATATAGGGCCAGGTAACCAACAGCGTAATGTCTCTGGGCAGTGTAATGAGCCCCAAAATTCCCCCCAAATAGTACTTTTTCAATCAGCGAAGAATACACTTTATAGTTTCCAACTATTCTTGGTCGCCTGAAAGTCCAGAGATACCCAGTTTGGCTGCGGTTTGTGTTAAAAAACTGCACCTATTCGGCCGGTGCTATGGGCTCCTCGGAGCCAATGGGTCCATTCGGGGCCCAAGGGGGTCATGGCACCGTGGCCTCCCCATCCGGATACGCCCTGATTGGGGAAGGGCTTTGTGGATCGAGTCCACCTCAAATAACATGACAGTGAGTCGACAAATGTTGACGTGAGCTATGCTTGCCCACACTCAGCCCATGCGGACGAGATCCGCGCCAGCTACCCCTCTTTTTTTGTACATGACATGGTAAAACCCAACCAGGACGCACACGGCACGAAATTAGCTACGCACCTGGTCGAGATGATAGCCTATGGGCAGCCGATCTGGACTCCAGATGGGGCCCAGGCACCAGCCCGCCTGCATCGCTTGCTGGCATGTGGTCAGTTTGCCCACCTGCGGCCCGTTTGGATCTGAGGCTATGCCGCTCACCCTTGTTCCAAACTAGTCTGTACATGGCCACAAAATATCCAACCAAGTAGACCGAAGTACAAAAATTAATACCCGAATGTAAAAGATGTCAGCATATGGGTGCGACCGATCCATCTGGGTGCGACATAGAGCACAAAGACTATCCCACCTGCAGCCCGTGTTAAATGAGCAGAACGTAGTACAAGGTACGAACATTTCTGGTGCATGCGAAAATCATAATAAGAGCGCTCAATGTGGGACCCAGCTTGAGCCCAGTTAAAAGCCCACCTGTAGCCCATGCCCACATTAACCCAGTTGCTCCACGTTTAGCCCATGTGGATCCCATTTGGGAATGTTGGCTGGACCCCGTGTTCGGCATGATGAGCTCATAGTTCCTTCGCCAAGTTATCGACGTTGAATGCACCAGAAGGTGTGCTCAAATGATACTAGAAGGCAAACAACTGTTAAATCATCAGCACGCAGAGTTTCAAGCTGTGCCCATGGTAATGAGCGTATCATAATGAACACTGGGAAGTGCCTTGTGGGCTGCTTGCCGGACTTTATACCTTTGAACTTTTTACCCCTCTGGTCTTTTCGTCTCTTGACTTTTTTCATTCCACTTTCCTTCTCCCTCCTTACACTTCTCTTTCCTTCCGCTTTTGAAAGGCCATTGCTTTGATGGTGCCAGCAATATGTCGAGCAGAGTGTCTGGAGTGCAGGCAAAGCTTTTCCAGAAGCAGTCCAAATCCATCCTCGTGCAATGTCCCAACCATGTGCTGGACCTAGCAAAAGAAGTGCCGCTGGTGACCGAAACAATGAATCTGGTGAGGAACTTATCACATGTCTAAACACTACGAAGGACAAGAACATGTTCGAGGAGCACATCCGGGCGGGGATAACGGAGAGGGCGGTGTCGGTGAAGCCAGAGCACGCGATCCACAGAAACTTTTGGCTTTGTGCCCGCCACGATGTACTGTGAGGTGTGAGCGCATTCCAAACCTTCTTGGACAACTTTGATGCGGTTGTTGAGATATTCAAGGACCTGCCCAAGGGCAGAGGAGGGCATCCAGATGCACGGAGCAAGATGAGAGGGATCCTGACTCAGCTGCGGTGGTTTGGCGTCGGATCTGTACTGTCCTGTGCATCCAGCTTTTTCACCCTGTGAACTTTTCTCCAGACAGCTGCAGAGGCCTTCCATGGCAGCCGTAATGACTGTAATGACTGTGCAATGACAGCAAAGGCTCATGTCGACTCTCCAGCAGCCCCAAAGCTGACCAGGCCACCGGAACGTCTGGAGCAGTGCGCAGATGCTGTGGGCGACACGGAGTTTGACGGCCGGACCTCCCTCCGTCGCCAGTACGACGAGGCAGTGGACCTGACAGCCGTCGAGCTGCAGCGTCGCTTCGATCGGCCTGGGCTGAAACGTCTGCAGATGCTGAGAGACATCCTCATCAGAGATCGGGCTAATACGACAGACGAGCTTCGAGAGTCACTGGGCGCTCATGGGTCTCTGGAGCTGCTGGCTGCGGAGCGCAGGCCTGTCGCACCCGATGTCGACCCGGAGCTGCTCTCAGCGCAGCTGAAAGCGGTTCCCAGCGCCGGTCTAATGACGCCAGACATAAAGACTTGCCGATCTGTGGCTGGTGCTCGAGTCAAAGGGAGCGGTCGTCAAGTGGATGCTGCGTGAAGTGGTGCGTCTGTGTCGCCTTATTATGACCGTGCCTGTGTCGGCAGCCTCAGCAAAACTGTCGACGCTTATTCTCCGCCTTGAGGTTGGTAAAAACATGTCTTCGTGCGACGGTGTGTCAGAAGCGGTTGTCTCACCTGATGCTGCTCCACGTCCGCCAGGCACGCGTCTTTACGCTTAAGCCTGATCAGATTCTGCGGCTCGTCCGCAGGCACCCCGATAAGCGAATCTCGGCGTTTGGGCGACAGGAGTGTGGCAACGTCACCGGCGTCACGGCATAGCGCGGTTTCTTCGGTGTTTCTCCCCATACCCGACTGGCAGCGAAACTTGTTCGTGGTTGTTGCTCAGCATCTACGGGCGTGCCCGCTCGGAAATTAAGTTTATAAAGTGTCATGGCGAGGCTCGTGGAATGTTTCTGAAGGTGTATTGGAAACGCCAGATAGCGATGGCGTAAACCAATGTAGCCGTATCGCCATGGTACAGCTGACGAGTGTCAATAGACGCTCTCGATGTAAGTGAACGTCCTTTAATCGTACATTGTGAGCTTTGACGGTTGGTAAACGCCAGGAGGTTACTTTATCGTGTGTTCTGTTTTCTGTTTCCTTCTCGACCTTAAGAGATGCTTTGTTATCATAGCGCCGTTAATGCAGCAGTGGCGACGCTAGATCTAAATGCATTTAAGGTTTGCAATAATTAGCTCGGAGCACCTCTCCAAATATTTACTTACATACCGCAATGGCCGATTCCGCGCCCCAGAAAAACATGGCTCATTTGGATCCGGTGGCGCTGGGTTAGAGTCCTGGAATAAAACAACAATCGCTTTTCTTATGGTCCTCTGGCTGGTGATCATAGTCAGCCTGGCACGGGGCAGCCGTTTCGTAGCCTCGCGCGACGTGAAAGAGTCCGTCCGATTGGTCTCGCGTTGATAAATGACCGCAGGCAAAATCATCCGTTTAACTGGAATTACGCTATTGAGTTGCCGGTTCTGGGTACAAAAAGCAAGCAGTGGTTCGCATATAGATAGTCTGAGGCCAAAGCCACCGATACATACCGTTCGGGTATTTTTTATACATAAATAGAACATAAAAATGTGTCTGAATTGGATGGATTCTTTTAAGACATAGCCTACTCTAAGCATTGCCTTGCACTGTGAACCCCGGTTGACCGACCCACCCGATTATCAAGTTCCAGTTAAACGGCGAGTTTTGTGTCAGAAGCTTAACGTGTCGTGATGCTCGGCTCAGTCCAATCTGTTGATCGTGGGCGGCCATGAACCCGGCCGCAGGCTTTCTAAGTCAGGGGCGAATAACGAGCACCGAAGCGGCTTGAACCCTTAATCTAACCCCCCAGTGCAGCTGAGCTGAGTGTTGGGGCGGCACGGTAATTCATTGAAATACAATGGCGGCCAGTCACTGATTTTACGACCGAATAAATGACCTCGCTGAAATATGGGGTCCATCGATTTGGGGGCCTTTCGTTAAGCCTTTACCCCGTTTCAAATACGGATACACGGCCACTTACCAACGTGGAATTTCAGTGTCCAACCATCAGCACCTGCGTTATTCGAGCTCAGTGAGCGCTTAATCTCCCGCACATTTTCTGCAGCCCGACTCCCAGCTCACGACTTTTTTAGGGTGGCTCTATGCGGAACGTAATTTTTCCGTTTAAACGCAAAAAAAAACTAGACGTATCGGAAGCCGAAGTGCATGCACTCTTCGCTGAGTTCAAAGAACATGATCAGTACACGTTTATATTTATTGAAGGCTCCCAACGCGATGGCCGCACGGGGGCCGCCTGCGTAATTATAATTATCATAAATCAACTCGCCTGTTAAATTACAACACTGTGTCAAAAAATGAAATAACAACAACTTGCATGCCTGCTCCACAACAAACAAGGTAACATACAAAGGGCAGTCATATGCACTGACTCTCATTCCTCGGTACAAGCTCTCGGCACGCTTCGCAATTCATGTCATTCAATTATGAACGGTATACGTCGAACGCTCTGCTTCCTTCCCCAACAAACTCCGTAATATTTCTCTGCATACCCGGACATACCGATATTCGTGGAAACAACACGGCTGATGACGAAGCAAAACGAAGTCTGATGTTACCAGAGCGTAATAATCTCCCTTGTCCCGTTTGCGATAACGTCATCAGTTTAATTCTCCACCGATTCCACAACACATGCCCGGCCCTAGATCGCTCAGATACAGGCCTTTCGCGATCAGCTGATGCACCACCGGCCCTGAGCCACAATAGCGATTCTTGATCACCTCACAATATTCATATTTCGAGGCACTGCAGGCGCGGCTCGTGGACTCCTTCGCCCAGCTGCAGTCCCCTCATCACATGCGACCCGGCTGACGGGGTGCAGCAGCTCGCGAGGTCACCACCGGGGCCGGTGGCCCACGGCCTCCGGGCCGAGGGGACCACCTCCGCCGCCTTCACCCCCCTCCCCCTTCGGGCGCGTCTCTCAGGACCAGCCGACGCAGCACGGGTTCTGCGCCATGGGGTGGACGCGACCGCACAGGAAGTTGAGCATCGTGTCCAGGTACTGCTTCTGCGCCCAGTTGCCCAGGTAGTAGGGCTCGTGGCAGCGGAAGTCGGGCGACACGGAGGCATTGACGCCCCTGCGTGCCTCGCACGTGTGGTGGTGCATCCAGCCGACGGCGCCCGTCGAGGACCACACGGGGATGGTCGACCGCGACCTGCGGGGTGAGAGGGCGTCAGACCTGGCCGTGGTCAGACAGTGTCCCCGTGTCAACGGCAGCCGAACGTTGTCTAGGCTTACTGTGGAGTGTGCAGCGATCATCGACAGAAGGCGACGTATTTCGTCGACACATTACTCATGACAAAAATATGTCCTCTGTTTAGGCTACACATGCTTCACACCGCGCTACACTTGTACTGCACACAATATAAACACACCCACACCCAAACCCACGCTCACACCTACGCCCACGCCCACATCTACACCCACACACCCACACCCCCCACATATAGCATGCAAATGTAATTATTTCAACCTCCATTTAATCGCAGCTCTCTTTAACCGGAATCACAGGCCCAGCCAGGAACTATTATTTTGAAGATTGGAGTCGAAGAAAAAACGCAACGTATGTTTGGGAAAACTCCGAACAGCAGACATTTGCACCACGTCAACCTCATCACAACACTTTTAGGTTTTTAGACAGTGGTCCTTGTTTATCAAAATACTACACAATTTCCCACCATGATTTTGGCAAAAAATTACACCTATTGGTTTTTAATCCTACCAGCACAAAACTAGGTGGCAAAAATATAAGGGTCCAGCCACAGACTACCAATAATACTACCCTTCATTCAAATCTCAGACGATATGCGTTACCCATTGTCGACCTCACATGTAACTTTGATCGAAGGCAGCCGCTCACTTACAAAGCTCCGATCAACTTGAGGTTGTGCTGCTGGATGATCTCGTTGAATTGGGGGACATCTTCGTTCGAGGCCCATATCCAGCAGGTTCTCATGCAGTTTCCACCAGACGTGGAACGCCGTACGAGCGGAGGAGCTCCAAAAGCGGACGCACGCGACGAACGTGCTCAGATACCGCTGACATTGATAATTCTCTCTTGTCCTCGTGATCCCTGGAGAGAAGAGCCGATGTCGTGTCATGCGACAAACTATCCCCGAGCGAGAGATACGGTCATCAATTAGCCGTTGTTCTGAAGGATCTGTGTGATGTTCGGCCAAGGGAAAGACACCGGGGACGAATTAAAGTCTTCGGATTTTTTCAGAGGTTGCGTGCTGAATGGTAAAGCATTTCTTAAATTCTTACCTTTGCATTCCCGACGTACTACTCTCTCCCCCAACATGTCACTGGTTGACTTTTTATGTACGTTTTATGATAATATTGCATGCCGTACGACGTACACAAATCATCATGGGCCTCGGGTCCATCACCTACAAAACGGTTGGGCCAAAAGCCTTACACCGTCAAGCAACATGCCAGTCACGGGCATAAGAAACAGGAAGTCACCAGCTGATCAGAACTTTTGATAGTACGGTGATAAAGGACACGTCGGGTAATATCCCAACAATAACCTATCTGGTAATATCTATCGCTTTTACAGCCCTGGAAAAACTTATCGACGCAGGCATTTATTTTTTGCTCCTGATGTGGTTAAAGACTTCTTTTGGAACGGGTGAGCCGTGGTACCTACATGACTGTTTCCAGTTGTAGGCCAGTCGGCTCCAAACCCGGATTAAATGTTCAAATGGCAACGAAGCTGGCAACATGGCAAAAGTGGCAGCAGAAGAAGTGGCAAAATGGCGACAATTAGACTGACTGTGTGCGGCTCATGGGTAAAAGCGCGGCATGACAGGTGTGGCCCGGGCCACACAAACATTATATGGACATGGACCATAATTTTTAAATTGCCCACAAAAGATGCTTGTTCAAGCAGCATCACAAATAAGCAGTTCTCAGCACTCTCCATCCGTGATGTGGCCTATGGCTTCACTAGAATTTTTGTTCATCAGAGAGCAAGGCGCAGCTATTATCTATTTGGCGGTGTAGCAAGCAGTGCATGCTTTGTGTACGAAGTAATGCAATGTTAGCTTACGATTCGTCCTCTGCGTCTCTGCGATTCGTCCCCACTGGAGCCCTGCGTTACCTCAGAGCCAGATCCACTGGAGTCCTGCGTTACCTCAGAGCCAGATCCACTGGAGCCCTGCGTTGCCTCAGAACCATATCCACTGGAGCCCTGCGTTACCTCAGAACCATATCCACTGGAGCCCTGCGTTGCCTCAGAACCATATCCACTGGAGCCCTGCGCTACCTCAACGCCAGATCAACTGGAGCCCTGCGTTACCCCAGAACCATATCCACTCGAGTCCTGCTTTACCTCAGAACCATATCTACTGGAGCCCTACGTTACCTTAGGGCCAGATCCACTGGAGAAGTACGGTACCTCAGAACCATATTCACTACAGCCCTGCGTTACTTCAGAACCAGATCCACTGCAGCCCTGCGTTACCTCAGAACCATATCCACTGGAGCCCTGCGTTACCTCAGAGCCAGATCCGCTGGAGCCCTGCGTTACCTCAGAACCATATCCACTGGAGCCCTGCGTTACCTCAGAGCCAGATCCACTGGAGCCCTGCGTTACCTCAGAGCCAGATCCACTGGAGCCCTGCGTTACCTCAGAGCCAGATCCACTGGAGTCCTGCGTTACCTCAGAGCCAGATCCGCTGGAGTCCTGCGTTACCTCAGAGCCAGATCCACTGGAGCCCTGCGTTACCTCAGAGCCAGATCCACTGGAGCCCTGCGTTACCTCAGAGCCAGATCCAGCCTGGAGGAGACCACCAGTACGGACGGGCACACGCCGAGGCGACAGCGGTCGATCAGTCGCTGCAGGATGTCCGGCCAGAGACTGTCGGCCGTCCACAGATACTCCTGCCGGCACACAGAGCCATCAGCCGCGGATGCGTCGGACACGGAATTCCCAGGCTGGTCAGGGGGACACATATTTTGCGTAGCCCAAGGGATGTCTGGCATTTCACATGAGTCTGCGGTGCATTACAAATTGCGAAAGAAGACTGCCTGCGCTCACCCGGGGCGTCGCAGTTGGAGCGCGAATCGCGTGTGAAACACGCGACCGTTATCTGGTACCGTGCGACTTAACACGAGGGAAACTTGATGCTCGTGGACTTCGCGAACAGGCGAACGCGAGCATTGCTCAGACAGCTGACGGAGAGCTGCATGTTTGCTGAGACACCGCGGACTGCTAAATGCATCATAAGCATACTAAGCACACGGTGAACACTCGCAGTTTTCGAGCTAACCGTCTTCCCACGGTGAAGTGGATTCAACTGACCAGTTTGGCGAGGCGGTTCATGGCCAAGTGCCTGCAGGGCTCGGGGGGCTGGACGGCCGCCGCAGCCTCCTGCAGGTAGGGGTGTGTCCAGTTCTTGTGCACTGACCTGGACGCAGACGCGGCCACCCGTCACCGTTTGTGGCAAACGTTACGGGGAGTGCACTGCACACACGGAGTCAATATAGCAGGTACCGATCCGCGGATTTGTGCTCACGTGGCGCTCTGAAGGAGGTCCGCCTGCCCAGTAGTCGGCGGCACCACGCGGAGCCCACCTGCAGTAGGCGGGACCCTCCACCCGCTCCGACTCGCTCATCAGCTCGTCCCGGATGTAGCGGTACAGGTACAGCAGCCGTAGGTCGCCCAGCAACACGATGTGCGTAGATCTGCCGAACTGGTGGTCTCGCCACTTCAGACAGCTCTGGGTGCTCCTGCCGGTCACAGCCGCGGCCCGCGGGTCACATGTCGCGCAAAGCTGATCAGGCCCCTGTGTAACTGCGGTTTCTCATGCGAAGCTTTTAACGTTTGAAAATCATGCTGTAGGTCCCTTCCGGCCATTTAGGTGCTGGATCATTCAGCTATCATTGACGCTGGCTACGACGGAAGGCGCCCCGTCGTGTGTTATTTACCGAAGAGGAAAGCGATATATCTTGCAGTAAGTTTCCTTCTCCTGCGGGTAGTCAAAGTTGTAGCGTGGGCAGTGCAGGTCAAGCAGGCACTCACAGCCCGTATTCGATTGTTTTGAGTGCTGAATATGTCGAAATCCTGGAGCCCCTGAGGGAAAGCGCAACGGAAACTCTCGTTATTGATAGCGTACGCGCAATATGAACGTTATAGTCATATACACTTCCAAAACGAACGTATAGCGTCCCTGATTGCAATGTTTCACATGCGAATGACCTAGGTTTGCCGTCACATATCTTAAGGTAGGTGAAGACAAACTTTAAATTATGGACACGTTAGAACATATTGGAACACAGTTAGTGACAAAACCCTCCAGCAATATGTTTTGTAATCAGAGCGTTTTGGGGAATGCTACGTAATTCCTAATGATTTATTAAAAAGATATGCCACACTGCTGCAAACAACGCCACTGAGCCGTGTTCTCACCGCTGACAGGCATCTCCAGGCGGTTGGTGAGCGTCCAGAGCAGCACACCCGTGGAGAACACACCACCGACGAACACAGAAGAGAGTCGCGACCGACGAGGCGGCGCCATGGCGGCCTGTTGCGCCGCGGCTGGCTGCGGAGAGCTCATACGGAGACCGTGCTTTCGTCCCACGGCCGGGCTCGGTGACGCTGGAGTCCCGCCGGCTCCGCCTCCAGACCACCAGCGCGGTTCACTGACGCGCCCGGACCGGTCCACGGCCCGCAGGCGGCAGACGCGTGGCACAGCGACGCACGGGTCGCGCCGGCTCAGCGGCGGAGCGGCGCCGACTGAGCGGCAGTGGAGCGCCCGGTGCGGCTGGCACTCGCCGCTGGCCCGTCTGACCTGCGGCGCTTCTGGCGAGGCCCGGCCGCCCGCCGCCGAGTCGGTGCCCTCCCGGCCGGTTGGTGTTCGCGGCCGGCCGGCCGGCCGGCGGGCCGACGGTCGTTGAACTCACCCGCCGGCTGGATGCTGCGCCGCCGAGCGTGAAGCGACGACGAAAAACTGCTTTGCCTCGCCGCACCGCTGCCCAGGGCCTAGTAACGGACCGCCGTCTGGATGAGTGACTGAACAGTGACGCTCCATCACTGTTTTGGATGCGTAGCGTTGCATCGTTCCTACGTGCTTGTTTAGTGGTTTCAAAGAAAATCGCAGTTTTAACCGGTAGTGCTTTATTAACCTTGAGCGGAGCGATTCCAAACCACACACAGGTTCTTCCTGGCTGCACGTAGATAACCAGAGATAGTTAAACAAGGTCTAACTCATTTCATTTTTGAAGGCTTCGTAGGCAGCAGGCAATTTGTTCCGATCCCAACTGAGTTATTCCGACCGTTCACCAACTTTCCGATGGTAGTATGCATGGGATTCAGTTTAGAGCGTGAGACAGTATGATTGGGTTTCGCAGCCTACGGTACGCTAGTTTGGCCATTTCCACCCTCCTTTCCATGGTTATGGACTAGCTACATTGGACAGACCCATCCCCCGTGAAGCCGTGCTAAGCGCACCGTCCCAAAAAGTAGAAGTAACACGTTTTTCGACCCAAAGTGAGTTAAAAATACGAAACAAAAAAGGCCATGTTTGCTTAAAGTAAGAGAAAGCTAACAGCATCCGGCTTTAAGAGAGGAATTTATTTCTACCATTTTGGCTTGGCTTACAACGATACCTGAGCGGAACGTCACGCTGTACAAAGCCTCCCCTCCCCCTTGTCACGCCTCCGTTTCGCTTGATCAACCTCTCCCCTATGCGTGAGGTAATTCATGTACAGCCTCTTTCTCCTACCGTCAGTAGCGCAGGCAGGGGGAGGGCGCGCAGGGGACACGTGCTCCCACCCTTAGGCTCCGAGGGGCCCCAAGGGCCCCCCGGAACCTACGATTAAGAGCCCGATTTGAGGACCCGAAAGGCCTGAACGGTCGGCCGGAGGTCCCGTCCAGGGGCCCGGGCTCGCAGGCCCGGACACTTCAATGCCAGCCAGAGGGCCGCGCACTGATCGGGGGCCCAAAAATGTGATAAGGGCCTATATTTCGGTCAGACACCATCAGTACCGCACAGCCGGCTCCGTGGCGGCATGGGCCCGGAGGGCCCATCTCCCAAGCAGGGACAAAACAGGAGCCATCGATTTACATTGCTCTGGGCTCCACAGCGCTTAACGCGGGTCCCGTGTTGTCAAACGACCCCGAGTCGGACAGAGGCAGTGCTCGAGGAGGCACGAGGAGCCTAGAGGGCTCCCCGGTCCGACGATCAAGGGTGCAATTGGAGCGCCTAAGGGTATGAAGTGCAGGTCGGAGTCTTATTCAGGAGCCCCGGCCTGCGAAAACGGACCCTCAAATAACGGCCAAGGATCCCTTGGGGCGACCGCGGACCGCCTGAGTCGATATGAGCCTACATGTCGGTCAGGTACCACCATACCACATAGTCGGCTCCGTGTCGGTATGGGCCTGGGGACCCACTTCCCAATGGTCAAATCCTTGGTTCGTTGGCACACACGATTAAACCAATGGAACGATGAATTCCGCTCCAGACACGTGCACACCGCGCCAACTTGGCGCATTCACACCTCACAGACAAGGTTGCCGTAATCGGCATATCGAACGGCAGGATGGGCTGCCCACACGTGACGTCACTAAACCCGAGCACGAACACCCCACCTCCCCGGGTCGATCGGTAGGTCTTGACCTTCGGGTCGACCTCCAGCCTCTCCGGTGCCCTCCGCTGACGGTTGCCTCGACGCGGCGCTACCATCCTGGGTTGGTCCGCAAATCGCACCTTCTTTGGAGCTAGTCTTGGTGCGACGTCACTGCGTTCGAGGGCCGGATCGCCCTGCGTGGCGTAAACGGGCCGGTACATACGAATGAACCGCCGGTTCCTGCACATGGTGCGACCGCTGGGGAACTTTACCAGGTAATCCCTCATTCTCCCGATGGCCTCGACTTCTCCCATTCTGTCCCAGAGTCCTGTCTCCTTGTCCCGCTCGCTCACTTTCGTGCCGATTCGCATCGGGTGCAGTGGCTTTGCTCCTTTGTCGTAGGCTGTACTCGTAGCTCTCATCACATCCTCCCCCTTCCGGTCGCAGTCCTCCGCAGCCTTCTGCAGGCTTTGTCGAAGGTGCGATGTTGCATGGGGACTGCCGACCGAACTGGATGCCCGCAGAGGATGTGGGCCGGTGAGCGTCCGTCCACCCGGGGCGTGTTCCGGATCTCCAGGATGCATCGGGCGAACTCATCGGAGTCCGTGTTGCCGGCCACAGACGTCTTCTGCAGGAGTCGTTTGACCAGCTTGACTGCTGATTCCGCGTGGCCATTCGACTGGGGGTGGTGTGGACTTGACAGCACGTGTCCGACCTCCCAGCGCACGAGGAAGTCCCTGGTGTGGTGCGCCTTGAACTGTGGTCCTCCGTCCTCCGTCCTCCGTCGCGACGAGGGTCCGGGACGTCGCTTCTCTGTTGCAGGAGACGACGATGGGCCAACCGGAGAGTCTGTCGGCGTACACGGGGAACGTCTTTCCTGCGTGGTGGAAGAAGTCCGCCGACTCGGACTGGAAGACTCTCGTTGGCTTGGGGTCGGTCATGAGTGGCTCCTTCTGCAGGCTGGGCAGTCTCTCATGACGGTGGCGATATGATGTCACGAAATTGTGGACGTCCTGGTCGATGTTAGGCCAGTACACCGACTGTCTGGTGCACCGCTTTGCCCTGTCGACGCCTTGGTGACTGTTATGAAGGCGTTCGAGCACTTCACGTCGTAGGCTGTGCGGGATGACGAGCCGTGCTCTGCAGGCAAGAAGGCCGTCGTCGATGGATAGGCGCTCTCGGACGTTCCAGTAGGGATGAACCAGACTGGCGAGGTCTGCCATGTGGTCGGGAAATCCTTGCATGATGGTCTCCGCCACCTTCTGGTACGCCTCGTCCGCGCTGGCAGCTTCTTTGACCTGCTCCAGCAGAGCGTCCTGGAACGGTGCAGATCCCGCTTCGTCTTCGCCGCCGTCGGTGAGGCGTGTCAGAAGGACACTGCGCGTCTGGTACGTCACGTCGTGTTCAGCTTCCTGATCTTCAGGACTCGGCTGATCGACGGGTGACCTTGACAGCGCGTCTGGGAGCTGATGAGTCTTTCCAGCTTTCCAGGCGGCTGTGAAGGTGTATGCCATGAGCTTCTCTCGTAGTCGTTGGAGCCTGGAGTTTTCTATCTCCGCCAGAGACTTGGTGCCGAGGATGGGCACCAGAGGTCTGTGGTCGGCGACGAGGCTGAACTCTACCATTCCAGCCAGATAGATGTGGCACTTGCGCACGGCCCAGGTCACCGCCAGCATCCCGAGCTCCACGACAGCGTAGCGTGACTCGACCTCAGACAAGAATCTGGAGCCACACTGGACCAGCTTCCACTCCTGGCCGTGACGCTGTAGCAGCGCGTAGCCCAGGCCTCGGAGTCGTGATGCGTCTGTTGGACTGCGGTTGCCAGTGACGAGTCGGAGTAGGCCAGAACGGGAGGGGTGACGAGCGTTGCTTTGACGGCTTCGAACGCTGCCTGGTGTACCGATGTCCATGTCCACTGGTCCCGGGGCCTCAGCAGGTTGCATAGAGGCTCGGCTGTCCTGGCTGTGTCCGTCGAGAACACTCCGAGCTGGTTGACCAGTCCCATGAAGCTCCTTATGTCTGTGAGGTTCTCTGGAACGGGGAAGTCAGCGATAGCCCGCACCTTGCGCTGGTCTGCTGTGTAGCCGTCAGGACTGATGACGTAGCCGCAGAAGCCCAGCGTCTGAGCGGTGAGCGTCACCTTCGCCGGGTTCAGGGTGATGCCATGGCTGTCGCATCGCTGAAGAATCTGGGTGACGTGCGGAAGGTGGATCGAGTAGTCGTCATCGTAGGCCAGGATGTCGTCGACCACCTTGTTCGTCTTCGGCAGGCCCGCCAGTGCTGCGTCTCCACGCCGTCCATACTCGTCCCCGGACGTGCAGAGGCCCATGACGGCGCGTTTGAACTTGTGGTGTCCCCAGGGTGTTATAAAACACGTCAGGTCCTGGTCTTCCTCTGCAATCGGGATCTGGAAAGTATCCTGACTTCGCGTCCAGCTTCGTGAAGTACCGGCTCCCTCGCTCGATTCCGGTGACAACATCGTGAGGCGTGGTGACTGCGTGCGCTCCACGTCGAACGTAGAGATTGAGTCTGGTCAGATCCACGCACATGCGCGCAGAGGTCTTGCCGTGATTTCGGTCCGTGGGCGGCTTCGGCACTGGGACCATCGGGTGACACCATTCAGCCGGGTGTGCCACAGGCGTGATGACGTCTTGCGCGATCAGATCGTCCAGCTGATGCTTGATGTCGTCTCTCCATGCATGCGGGATGTGTCTGGCGGCTGTCTCAGCATACGGACGAGCGTCTGACCGTAGATCGATCCGCATTGGACCACCTGACATCTCCCCCAGCGGTGGCTGGGTGCTGAACACTCTCGGGAGCGCCTTCTTCAGCGTGTCCAGGTGCTGGTCCTTCTGGGCTGCCGTCGGGTCCCCGTCGTCTGGTAACCATCTTGGAAGGGGCGGGCTGACTTCTGCCGCTTGAACGTCCTGAGTCGTCACGGGTGTAGAGGTCGTCTCTTCAGCAGCAGTCTGTTCCGTCGTTGTTCCTGTGACACCGTAGATCTGTCTCGGGAAGTCAGGCGAGATGATGCCAACGGCGATGGAATCATGCCATGACAGGAGGGCCGCGTCTAGGCCTGTCACAACTGTCACGGTGGTCGACGTCTGGCGTCGTCCCATGGTCAACTTGCACTGGAACGTGCCGGTACACTCCAA